GGGACTGAAGAGGCTCCCGTACTGCCTACATGCACCAGGTAAGGCTTGCATTTAGCACCGAAAGTAGTGGACGGATCAGTGGAAGTAGAATTTGAAGTGGAAGATGAGACGGCAGCAGATGAAGCTTCTGAAGACTGCTGCCGCTCAAAGTAGCGCTTCAGTTGAGCAGGGTTGAAGGGCGCCGCTTCGAAGGGATCAAGGTGGGGACTGGAGGCGGAGGAGTTTTCGAATGAACCTAAAAAGCAAAAAAGTTTAGACAACTTTAGCCAAAAACTAACAAAAAATACAAAACTTACTCTTCATCGACGCCGGCTGAGCGCTGTAATGACGGTGGGCAGCAGATGAGGAAGAGGAAGTCGTAGTCACCACCTCCTGTCGAATTCGGTCAAACTCATGGCCGAAAAGGGTGTCCTCATAGCTGACATCGTTTGGGTCTTCGAAGGGGTTTAAGGAACGAACTCGGGTCGCTGCGTTAGGAGGTGGTAGTGCTAAATTATTACCACCATTAGCAGCTGCTGCAGCAGCAGCCACAGTGGCCGCCGCTGCGGCGACATTCGCCGAGCTAAATGCACTCGTGTCGCTCATGTTCCGCCGGTGGTGGTGGTGGTGATGGTGGTGATGCTGTTGATGGGGATTGGGCAGGTGATTTTGAGAAGAAGGGGGAGGATTAATGCTAGGCAGCTCTCGAGCAGTAGTTGAAGTTGCTGTTGCTGCTGGCGTTGCTGCCGCCGCCCCCGAGTTTGGCGGCGTCTGCGAGTGTCTTCGACCTGAGGTCTGAGGAGGGGCGGGCAGAGGCTGTGGAATGGAGGCGGAAGAGGAAGTGGAGTTTGCTCCAGCAGCAGCACCGAGGAAGGGATTCTTCGAGGCCGCTGGATGATCGTAGATAGCGGCAGCAGCAGCAGCTGCTACTGCTTCAGAGTTTAGCTGGGGATTCGAGGATGACTGACCACTGCTACCGGAAACGACCACAGAAGGAGGGCTGCTGCTGTTCGCTTTCCCTCCACCCTTTGCCTTCTTCTTACTCCAGTCAATGTCGTCCTCATCATCATCATCGACGACAGTTTTGCTAGTGCTTTCAGCAGCAGTCGTCGTCGAGGTGCTGCGAAGTCCCGAGTTGAAGGAGGCGGAGCTGGTCAAGGTAACATGAGCTGAAGATGATGCTGTGTGACTGATGGAAAGACTGTTTGCAGTCGTTGAAGTTGTAGTGGAGGAAGATGACANGACAGATCACTGGGCGTGGTCGCCCGGTTGGTGGCTGTGGTGGTGGTGGCAGCCGCGTTAAAGGGCGGCAGCGGCGAGGTCGGCAGGACCGAGTTGATGTTGATGGAGGCTGTTAAAAACCAAAAAATTCAATAAAAAAGAACTCTTAAAAAGAAGTTCAGAAAACATACCTTTCGGCCGCTGCCGGGGCGTCACACTGGTGAGGGTCGCTTCCAAAGAGGCACCAGCACCTCCACCGGAAACAGCAGCAGACGAAGAGGAAGTGGTCGAACTTGCATTCATCCCCGCTCCAGCTGTCCCACCACTACTGCTCACAGTCGAAACCTTCCTCGAGGCGGCCTCCCTCGACTCTCGGGCCTTCGACTCGGTGGGCGGCACCTTCAGCGCCGCCCATTCCGGCACCAGGACCTTCTTCGTGACGGTTCGATTAGGCACTGGATTACTTATGCTAGAAGAGCTCTTCAACGTCTCCGCGGCCAGCGAAAAAACCAGCGCCGAAGTCTGGTAAATGTCCGGCCTCAGGTCGGGATCGGCCGTCAGGAGGTACCCGAGGAGGGAGAGCATCTTCGGGGAGAATCGTTCCTCAGCATTATCCGGAACCGTAAGTTGGGCGTTTTGAATGGCGAGCGTCGACTCGCCAAAGGGCAGGGAGAGAAAGCAGAGCCGGTAGAGGAGGCAACCGAGCGCCCAGATGTCCGCCTTGGTGGTGATGGGCTTTCCCGAGTAGACATCGACCATTTCCGGGGAGCGGTAGGAAAGGGTGGTGTAGCGCTTGATCTCCTCCTCGATGGCCAGCGCCGACATGCCGTTTAGTTCCGTTGAGAGGACTTTAGTGGTGGCCGAGCCGAAATCACAGAGCAGGTAGGTGCCCGCCTCGGAGATGAGAATGTTTTCCACCTGAAAAAGAGAAAAGGAGTTTAGTTAACCTCAGTTAACGAACTTCCAAAAAAGAAGTTCAAAATGAACAGCTTACCTTGAGATCCCGGTGAATAATGGGCGGCTCATTGTGGTGCATCCTTGCCACCGCCTCGCAGAGATCACAGGCAATTCGAAGCACTTCCGCCTCCGAAAGGCCACCCTCCTTCAGCCGATCATTGAGCAGCTGAAGGAGATGGCCCCGGCAGTACTGCATCAGCATCAGTATCTCCCAGACGCCATTTGAGGCGGTGTAGTTGATACTGGACTCCACCAGCTGGACGATGTTCTTGTGCGAGCCCAGTTGCTTCTGCAGAAGGGAAGGGGAGAAAAAAGGCAAAAAAGTTAAAAATTTGAAAAGTAAAAGGTAAACAAACCAAGCTGCCTACCGCAATCTCAATCTCCCGCCGGCAATTGGCCAGATCGGCCTCATTGTTGACGTGCAGCCGCTTGAGGGCAAAGCGGCCCAGGCTGCTCTGCGCCTTCACCAGGAAGACCAGGGCAAAGCCGCCCTCGGCGATGATGTCCTCCACCGTGCAGTGGTACTGCCCCAGCGTGAAGACCTTCCCGATGAAGCTGCCGCCGTAGCTGGAGCTGGCCGAGGACTGGCTGCTGCCCAGAGGGGCACTACCGCCCCCAGCACCAGCATTTCCACCACCGCCTAAAGTCTCACGATTGTAGTCCTGCTGGTGACTACTGTTGTGGTGGTGGTGACGGCTGGAGGAGTTGTCCAGCCGCTGGAAGAACTTCTTCATCTTCGCTTTCTGCTGAAGATGAGGACGGCTGGTGGTGGTGGTAGTGGTGGTGGTTTCCTAAGCTTGAAGGTAAAGGTTTGCTGTTGGTTCAGAGAAGCCAGAGCTGGAGTTTGTGTATTGATGAAGTGGCTTTAATTAGGGGATTTTTCTTCTTTTTCCTCTTCTACTACTTTTGAACTACTAAAATCAGACTAATAAAGAGCACTGCCGAGTAGTAAGAGTAGTGTTGGCATCAAATTTCAATTGCACAAGTGTTGCTGCTGCTGCTGGTGTTGGTAGTGGTAGTGGTGGCATTGGCGATGTTGATGATCAGATCGCCTGGCCGATGTGATCACCTCACTCGATCAAGATGATCGTAAATCCTGCAATGCGCGAATGAGTGCTGTGTACTACAGGGCTGATCTGCATTAGATGAAAGAGAAGGGAAGGCCGTTTAGACTCTGTGGTGGTGGTGACTATACACGGTCTCATACAATACCTCAGTTGACAGCAGCTGCTGCTGCAAACGGCAGCATACCTCAGTGTCCTGTGATCAGGTTGCTCAGATCGATGTCTGCGCTGGTGATGCTGATGACGACAGCTAATGAGGCCGATCGGTGGCGTACTTGATCAGTGGTGGTGGAGCAGAGAAATGCAAAGAGATAGAGGTGAGACAATTGTTGAAATTGTGGAGAGATAGTTTGGGTGGCTGTGAATGTTTGCTTAGAAGATGTTTTGCTGATAACGGGGGATGAGGAGGTGATAACAACGAAGGTAAATAAGGTAGCAACTTGCAGGACAGAGAAGAGAAGTTTAGAGAAGTAGAACTTGGCGGCAAATCGGGGATAATAATAACACAGCAAAGATCTAGGGGACTGAACTTCAGCACTGTCTGTGCACTTTTCAAAGGTAGAATCAAAATAAATAATAACAACGGTGTAGTATCACAACTGTTTTCCAAAAAAAGTGAATTCAGGGGCTCCTTTCGAAAGGCAACTCAAGGTAGGTTGATGGTGGGGTTTTCTTTTCCTGTACGAGTTAAGCGGCAGGTGTTTACGTGTAGTCTTCCTTCGTTCGTGTTGTTTACGTCTTTGTTCAGCTCTGTCTCTTCCACTCTTTCACTAGACTTTGCCAGCAACCAGTTATCAAAGTGGCTGCTGCTGAGGCAGGTGCTGCTGACCATTTCTCTTGTACAGCAGCTGGGATGTGAGGTGAGTGAATGAAAGAGGAGAAAAGGTGCAGCGTCCGTGACGGTACGGTGAAGAGCTGGGGTAATGCTGGCACAAAAGAATGCTGAAAGAAGTAGAAATCGCAGAATTGGTCGTGGGAGAAAGACGTGATCAGAAGATAGCTGGTGGCTTCTCCTACCTTTTTATCACCACTCTCTCTTCAGGCACTTTTTCAGGCTGCTCTAAAATACATCAACAACAAATGGCTCATCGTCGTCGTGGGTGATTCCATCCAATCGTTTGCTGCATCAGCAGCTGATGATGGTGGTGATGGTGGCAATGTACGGTAGGCGCCTTGATGAGCCTGCATCAGCAGCATCAGTACCACAACTTCGCAGCTGACAGATACTCTCTTTGCTGCTGATGCTGTTGATGCCACTGCTCACACTCACTCACTCACTTCAGACGCCAGTGTTTCTTTTTCAGCAGTAGCAGTACTTGTCAGTGTTAGAGCGAAGACACAGATACTCTCTCACTTCTGAGAAGGATGACTCGGCTCACAGACGACTGAGGCTAAGGCTTAAGCTTAGGCTGCTGCTGACGAAGAAAAGAACTGTGCACTCTGTGGTGGTGGTGGTGGTGCTGACGAAGAAGTAGAAGAAGTAGAAGACGACGGCGTCGGTGAAAAGAGAGGAGAGGAAGGCAAAGGAAAGGAGAGAGGATTGCGTAGTGGATTCTCACAGCTCGGCACAACAACAAGAGCAGCAGCAGCGTTTCCAGTTTCTTCTGTACATCTACGCTAGTATTTTTTTTGCCTGCTGAGCTTTGAATCCTCGACGCGACACCTGCCGGCGGCAAAGAGAACTAATCTGATCAGGCGCAACGGTTCGAAGTTGCGTCATCAGCCGGCGCCAGCTGTTTTTTTTGCTGTTGTGCTTTGTTGTGTGTTTTGGTGGGAAGAATTTCATCATCGTCGCGTCTTCTTCTTTCAACGGATTCTAAAAAGCTAGTGTTTGATTTGATTTGATTTGGTTTTACTGTTTGTACACCTTTTCCTTGCTATGATCTGCTCTTTTACTAACTACCTTTTTCTTTTTTCGTCAGGGTTTTACCTCTTTTTCGAACTTCAAAGCTGCGAAATGCCAGCGGCGCCCAGTCTGGAGCAGTCGGCCACCAGCTACCTAAGTAGCCGCCATTGTCGCCCGACACCTGAATGGATCCGGGCGCAGATTCCCAGCACCGAGCAGCAGGACCACCCTCGATTCAACCCCGACCTGCTCTACCAGGCGTGGATCAAGCTCAACTGGGCGGAGGAGGGGTTCAANGAGGATCATCCTCGATTCAACCCCGACCTGCTCTACCAGGCGTGGATCAAGCTCAACTGGGCGGAGGAGCAGTTCAAGGCACATTCGCTGCCCGCCTTACCTCCGCAGGTGCGCATGGAGAGCCTGGTCAATCTCAGGCCGATCACCCTCAGCGGGCAGT